CTTCGCCTCTCCCTAATGATGACGAATTTATGTACCCCGAGTTTGCCCTCGCTCATCAGTTGCGTGAACGTGGCTGGGTTGTGCCGGCATACACCATGGCGCCCCATAGCGAGAAACTGAAACTCATGAGGATTGTCGTCCGCGAAGACTTTAGCAAAAGCCGATGCGAGACCTTGTTGACCGATATCAAGATGGCATTGCAGCAGCTCGACGATATGGACAAGAAAACGGTGCTGAAGTATCAAGAGTATGGCCCCTTCTCCCTTCTCGGTCCTGCAAAGGTTTCCTAACAGCTGTAGGCACATCCGCCGCCACGTTACAAACTCGGGCAAGGCGACTCATAACCATCCTCAATACAAGGACGAAGACCACTCGCTCCAAGGAAAGACCGGTAAAACCCATGCCGTTTGCTAGTCAATCCGCCTCAACGGTTGGATAGGGTATGGCTTATCGTTCTGGAGAGATGAGAATGAAAACGTGGCCGCCAACTCAGGGATGTCTGTACCTTAAGTGAGCTTAGGTCTGCTTAGTCATTTGCTTAACTTTTGAAGTCTTGGCTATTTCAACTTCAACTTCACTTTTCGCTGCATCAACATCAACACTGAGGAATATAAGAACCTGCAAAATTTAATCTCTGGGCGATAGCTTGCTTTTATACGGGGCTTCTAGATTTTTCGTTTGCGGGTGGATTTACTCCGGCTCCCCCCTGGCTCCCCCCTCCAAGGGCATGTATGTCGCGTACATACAAACTTCAGAAGTGCATGAGAGCACGGGAATTGATATGGACCTACCTCCAGGAGAAATTATAATTATACGGAGTATCTTCTTCGACATAAGCCGTTAATTTCCACGGCCTTTTTCTCCCAAACCGCCCTTGACGGACCCTTTAACAGTGTCTCTCAAGATCAATCCCCACGCAATGGGCCTTCAAGTGTGTCTTCCGCTTGACATCCGTCTTTGTTCTTGCATTACATCGATGTCTTTACGGGGAAATTTGGCCTTTATACCCCGACATTGTTGCATCCTGCCCATTGTTGAGGAGTGTTACCCAACAATGGCCTTCAGTTTCCTATTTCTTGAACTATTTGACGATCTCCCCACCCTCCGGACTGGGCTTACTCTGAGGAACCTTCTCACACATTTGATTGTAAATCTTCTTGGGCTTTGCATTGATTTGAGTATTATACTTTTGGTGCAGATCGCCCGCTCCACTACTCTTTTCAGTCTTGTTCCCTTGCTCGACCTCCAATCTTGGCGGCCCAGAGCTTATTTCTTTTGTGAGACTTGCTTTTTGGAACATGTCATCAGATGATCCCCCATCCGAAGTCAATGAGAATTATCCAGACTTTGATTACAACTGCTTACAACCTCCACCGGAGGAATGGGAACTCTATGATATCCCAGACAAGACTCACCTGAGAAATAGGGCACTCGATCTCAGAACATTCAAAAAGCTAGTGAAGCATCACACGTGGGGGATCTACGTTGTCATTGGAGAGCGACGGACGAAAGAGAGGCTGTTGCAGGTGTTGAAGAGGATTATATTCAACCAGTCACCTAATCTTCGGCCGACGTGGCATGAATTCATATCCCGGAACTGTGACGCCGGACCCCGGCTACTGCGCAGAAGTTATAATGCTTTACAAATCAGCAGAAACTATCCAAATGGAATCCCAGGGGAGTCAATATACCTTCAACCATCGGCCACACATCATCAACCGCAGTTGATGATTCCACACGGTCTCCAACCTGGAGCGTTCACGCATGGGCCCATTGGGCTACTGAGACAGCCAGGTTATCCTGCTTTTTCTCATGGTGGCCCCAATATCCCGCAGCCAAGGCAAATGGAGTTTCATTCTGGTCCCATACCCGACCAGAACCGGATGTTTGAACATGGTCACTCAAGAATACTGCTAAGGCCAAACAGCGACATCCAACAGTCCTCAGTGCATAATTTGCTACCTCATAATCCGAACACTAGTCCTCCCTACCGGCCCGTGTCAAGTATCGCGCAATCGACGCCAAGCCGAAACCAAACCGCATCCTCTGCGTCTGCTCGATCAGTGACGGAACAAAGGTCCAAGCAATTGCCATCCAGATCAAGCGAAGTATTTGAGGCCGTGGAAAGGACCATCATGAGCTTCCCGTACAGGAAGCTTCATCGCCATCGAGATGCACCTCCCAGTACCGAGCCAGTGCGAAATCTCGTCGCAACCTCCAACGTCCATCTTGCACTGAATACCTCTAGGACAGAGTCTACGATATCTCATATTCAGGCGATAATTACGGGGAAAATACCTATTTTCAGCTTTGACCCGGATGGTGTTCGATACCCTTATCATGGGCGTGGTCCAGTGTCGAGACATGATACAAGTGCTGTAGATTGCGCAATCGTGGTCGGCAAACTATTAGATGCTGGTACGACCATTGCCGACCGTGGAGATGAGGTGGATTGGGCTTATCGCCTCACAGCTCTGGAAAACGCCTTTATTGATGCGTCGAATGTTAACTGGGATATTCTTTCTGAAGCCGAGAGCGCCAACCAGCGCGACCAGTTTCAAGAGGTAGTTGCCAATTGCTTTAGCGATAAAGGTCTTTCAATGATCCCGTCGAATGTGTGGGCTGCGTGCACGGAATCTTTCAGCCAGTTTCACGTTCGATATAACGAGCACCTCTATCCATGCCCTTGTCAACGGGTTGCTCCAACAAGTAGTGCGGATCAAACAGTGAATTTGATAGCTCCAGACTTTCAGGAGGGTGACATGGCGGGAGTCGGTGTCGCTGAGTTATTTTACCGGTTCTTTCAATGCCCTCAACGGTTCAACTGCACAAAATGCGGATCCAGCGACACGAACTACGTGGAAAAGCGATTCAGCCAACTGCCCTGGCGTCTAGCTGTTCGGCCCGATCAACGAACAGTACTGCAGTCCCATAGTTTGCAGAATATTACTTTTGAATATACAAGCCATGACGGCTCCCAGCATCAAGCAACCTATCGCTGGCTGGGAGGGATATATTGCGTTCTTATTGGCCAGGAATACCACTTTCGCGTTTACTGGAACGACAACGGGCGAGGTGAAGCGGACGATGGGGCTCTCCGGTTTTACGATGGGACTCAACTTTCCGGTGCCATCATCGGGGGCTTACATGCCACAGGCTCTGAACGGATACCGCCTACTTGGTGGGTAGGAGGCGCTCCACCGGTGCTTTTTTACGAGAAGGTGGTGAACCCTGAGCAAGATGTGTTGAGTGCTGCTCATCGAGCCGTGCAAATTATGCAAGAATGTGCTAATAGCGGTCGACTTATTCTTCAGTATCACCGGGGATGGGCGCCGTATCCCCAAGACCCAAATGCCAAAGGCCAGACGATAGATCGACGGAGAGCATCAATCGCACAATCCTTCAACCAATTCCCATCAAGCAATGAACCCAGGCGACCGCAGCATTATTCTGGGGTACCAGAGGCCCGGGTCCAGTCCCTGAATCAGTCGGCAGTCCGACTCCAATCGCGCACTGCAGAAATAACACAACAACCGCTAGTTCAACGACGGAGGTCGAAATACAGCCAGCAGGGTATTCCAGCGAGTCACCAACGGCAGCCAAGCAGGAGCGGGAACAAATCGGACTTCGTGGCTGCGCCGCCCAACCATGGATATGAAAGCCGAGAAGATGCTCAAGCCAGACAAAATCTACAGCAAGCTAGTCTTGAAGGGGGTTCTGGGGTGCGAGCATCAACAGGCTGGCATGCACACTGCTCGGACACCTGCTCTAATGTCCCGGAGCTCCCGCCAGTGACAGGCTCTGCATGTGTGCCGTTTACGGATAGAGAAATCCTTTCCGATTCTATATTTTCTACTTCGTGGAACACGGGCCCTTCCGCGTCAACGATGACGACGAGTTCTGATAGCATAAGAGACGCAAATACCAATTTATTACCGCATAGGAGTCGAGGTTCAGGGTCTTGGGCGACCGTTCTCGAAGAATGCTTGACAGTAGAGAAGCCAGGTGTGTCCCATTCGTATCTTGATCACCTCTGTGCCGCCGGAACCACAGCTGGAACTGAAGTAGACCACAATTCGAATCCTCAATTACCTATTGGACTAGCAAATCTGCCTATCTCAATTCGCCGACCAGGAACTGCCACCGAGATTGATGATGCCGGGGCCTGGGCATTCGACTTTGATGCTGCGAGCGCTGAGCTGCCAAACCTGACTCTGCCAGCGACCGCACCAAACATCGGCACAGCTGCAATGACTCCGACTTTAAACGCCTTTGGAAACATCCTGCAGGGGTACGGGGAGCATCCGGATCATCTGCAAGAGCCCAGAGTTTCCCAGGCGACTGGTCAGGCACAGGCCCGACCAGACGCATTCGCGAGCGAGCCGGGCGTTCCCAGCATCCCTGCTATCGACAGCGATCCCGATGGTGATACTGGCGAGAAGCGAAAGAGGCAGCAGAGCACAGAGGATGGCCATGGGCTTTCGAAGAGGTCGAAGCAATGCTTCGTCTGAAAAGCTGAAGCTGCCATTTCGCTTGTCTTTTTTCCTTTCTTCTGTATTTGATCTTTTGCCATATAGACAACTTTTCTTCGCATTTGTCTAATATCTCAGTGGATAGTTGGCTTTGACCTTCCCTAAATCTAGAAATAATTAGACTGTACATTCGATATATCGATGGCGGATGGTCATGCTCCGTTGCTTACCCCGCATCTGGCCCCTGAGTCCGGCTGCAGATCACCGCTATTTATCACCGCCATGATCTCTCTTCTTCTTCCTCTTCTTCTTCTTCTTTCTCTCCTCTCTCATCAATAAATGGATTTTGTCTATTCCTGATTCTATCGCTGCTAATGTACACAAGCATTTAAAGCTGGATATCTTTTTATAAACACCACACCCCCCCCCCCCCCCCCCCCCAAACGGGAAACAAGGATGGACCCCTCGCCAAAAACGCAAAATCCCCCAAAGAAGAGGTCTCCATTTGCTGGAAACATTCCTCTTTGAGCTCCTGGGCGGCCCGTAGGGACGTCGCTCTTCTTCGGAGCAGAGATGTATCCACCCTTCTTGTTATCTGTGTTGGTAATCCTTCCACTGGCGTCTCGCTGAATCCCCCAGCTCCAGCAACTTGGCAAATGCACGGGCGAAATGGTCGAAAAACAGCTCCTTGTCATCTGCATATCGATCCACCCATTTGGCGAACTCGGGATCCGAGAGCAAACACATATCCGTCGGAAGCATCATCAGCGGCTCCTCCTTCTCGTCCTCGGGAACGTCTGGGTCGACGTATGTGAACTGTTTGACTCCGTTGGACAGCGTCGTCGGCTTCCATTCCAAGTTCTTGAGGAGTTTGAAATACTGGTTTGAGAAGCGGATGGGATTGTTGACCCAGGGCCCGTTGAAGCCGCTACGGTCGGCGTGCGTGCGGCCAAGATTGTGTGCGCCCGAGAGAGCGACGATCTCTTGGTCGTTGAAGCCCATGCGGTAGAAGATGCGACGGAGATGGTCTTGTCCTTGTGTCGCGTCTGGCAGGCGTCCGCGTGGCGGGAGCTTAGAGTCGTCTACGAAATCGGTACGTCCGGGCTTCCACTGGATCTCAGGGCCGCCCATCTCCTTGATCGCCACAATGCCGGCGAGCGTCCAGAGATCGGAGTATGTGATCCAAGGGTGTGCCTTCTTCACGGGTTCGAGGAATGCTCGGCCAAATTGGAGGCCTGCGTTTGCTGGGTCGCCGCCTTCTTTCTCATATCTCATACCTGCACCATTGGAACCTCCGGTGTCGGTTTCTTTGTCATATGTGCCGGACGAGTGCCTATGGACAAGGGACTGTGAGAAACAAGTCGTGGTTGGAGGGGTACAAAAAGGAACTTACCAGGCAAGACGGACGAAGACGGGGCCAGCACTGCCGTCGTCGTAGCCTGGCTGTTTCATCTGGGCAATGATGTCCTTCCGGACGGCTTCGAAATCGCCTGGCTTACTCATACTGTCGATTTAATATCAAAGACTTTTGGTGAATATTCTGAGTGGCCGACAGAAAGAAATGGAGAAAACAAGTTGAAGATTAACAATAAAATCTAGTTATATCGTGGAATTAACATATGAGAATTTAGCAGAAACAAAAAGAGGGAGCATTAATGAATAGGAGGCGTCTCTTCCATTCTTCTTCAACTTGATGGCAAAATTCACATGATGCTTGCTTGAGGAAGCTCTGGACGAAAACTGAAGATCCACCGTCGCGTCATCCTCGCTGAGCACGGAGCGTTTGGACCGAGGCTCATCGTCATCTTATCAGATCCCAGAGAAACCTCTAGAACCAAACCCTGTCCTGCAAAATATCCTCCGGCTGCCCGAACTTTGCTTTAGTACCGAAATTCGGTTGCTTAGGTCATAAACCAAACAGATTTGCTCGGCTGGCAACTTTGACAGCTGAATATCTACCAGTTTGATGATAATTATTCTTTTGAATTATTGGTTTACAAGATATCTCCATAGTCTATGGGATTAGAGATACCCTCGAAGAAAATCTAGCAACTGGCTCTTTTGGATTCGATGCGGCTGGCTTGAAAAGGCTAATTAATAACAGGCTTCGGTCTCGAAGCCTCGGCCTGAAGGTGATTTCATCAGACCACAACATCGATAACTCCGTCAAGTCAATGCTTTGATATCGGCCTATGATGGATTGTTCTCGCTCCGGCCTGGGAATCCATCAAGTTTTTCCTCCTTTACAGTCGATCGTGCCACCATCTATTGAGGAAAGAACCTGGGAAGATGACTGACCTATCTCTCTTTTGTTGAAGCTGAGCCTTTGAACACGAAACGGCCCAAAGGCGCGTCGAGAAAAGTATTCTGGCTAAAGTACATATAACTAAGGAACATGCACACCCTCTCGAACCCTCCTGGAAAAACAATAAAAATAACGTCACACCGAACTTACGAACCGTTGATCTTCTAATGCGCGTTGTGCCTGCTATACGCTGCTAGCGAGATAGAAAATATCTACACTTGGCCAGTGAGATGTCCCAGTTGTTTTGCAGCTGTATCACAGACACAAGTATCCAAGCTCATGCTCACATGTGGAGGGCATAGGAAGAATGAAAGAAGTACAGGTAATTAGCGGATATCATCAAATGTTGGTTGACTTTCCAGTTTTAAAAGACCGCATGCATTGAAAAAGAGAGCTTTTTCCATATGCGAAACCCATTCCTCATTACGCCGTCTCCGAAACATCAGGATTCAGGGGAGACCGTACTCGACATTCATCCTCAACTTGTTTGTCTCCCGGGCATGCCACCTCCTCAGCCCCGTTCTTCAACTCATCCGTGCCGACCGGACCAGTCTCATCAGCCATCTTCACAGGCAGTCTTTTCTCGATATCCCCAAGGTCAATCCTTCGCTTCCCCTTCAACTCATCCAACTCCATCTGCAGCCTCTCCATGCTCCGCCGCAAATGCATAATTGCACTCCTCGCTAACCCCAACAGCTTCTCGACATCCCTCTGATGGCGGCTTGCCATCCTCTCCATCCGTCCATCCTGCCTCCTCAGCTCCCGCACCACTTTGCGCTTCTGCTTCCGCTCCGTTGTGATGATGTTGTCCATGAAATTGTAAAGCGGCTTGCAGTGGTGTTTGGTCAAGGTACCGGCTTTCACGTGTCGCGAGATGAAAATTATAGAAGCGTAAATGTCGCTGACCACGGCGGCAATGCGAGCGGATTTTTCACTGGAGGAGAGGTTTTCTAGGCCGGTGAGGGAGATGGCGCCACCGGTTGGAGGGCCGAACGGCAGACCCCCAAGTGAGCAATCATCCGCGTTGACCTCGGCCATGATCTTGGAGTTTGGGAATGAGTAAGTGTTTGTAGATGGAAGACTGCAATGTGCTTAGAGCAAAATCATACAGCCAGCTTTTTATTTTTGGTGGGTGTGATCGAATTCAATAATGCATCTGGCTCTGGCTGAGCTCATCGCTTTTAAGTCATTGCAGAGATAAGATGTCTAAGCTGCATCTTGGGATTGTGATGGGGAATAGGCTGTCAAAAATCAGACAATGCCCTAATTTCAAGCAAGCAGCAGCCATGGTAGTGCTCTGTTCAACGGGAAATTGACGCCGCCTGAGTACTTTATCAATTCCCATTGTTCGTCACCCAAGCGCTTCAGATGGTTACCTGCATGTCATTGTGAAGCGGACAAAAGATTGATGGCATGATTATTGGTTTTCCCACTGCTGCCATAGAGAGCCTACCTACTTTGTTGCAGTTCGGCAACTGGATATGAATGGCAGGACAGTAAAGATGATTTCTCTCCATTGCAGAACTGGATTCCTAAGGAAACCATGGGCCCGCAAACACTCCAGGGTCTGAATTGTAGTTTGACTGTGTATTCTGAATGGGTGGTTGTGCGACCCTTCAACTTGGTCTTTGTCTCTCTGTATTGATGGTGAGGATATCCTTTTAAGATGCACAGTTAGAGCTCCCTTCGCAAGCTAAACTTCAGATATAACCAAATTATGATAGGAAATAGTCTGAAGAAAGGTCAATGGCACCAACATCTGCATTCTCTGCATTTCAGGCTTGGGGCGCTAGATTCCTTCAAAAATGCTATTGAACATGTCTGCATAGCAGCTGCGAGCGTCAAAGAGCTACGCACTGGGGATGTGTGGGCACTTGTTGATGCGAGCATAATTGGACAAGCAACATCCTATGTTGCAATGATCCTAGAACAATCCCTAAAGCAAACTGCAGCAGAGATCAACCCAACACGAGCGGAAGGCTATGCCAATCGTTCGTCCAGTGGTTTGTCCTCTCAGGCCAAATTTTTCGAAATATTTGCTGATAGAAGCTCATTTTACGCCCTGTGTTTTCCCATGGATCATAAAGCATATCGGCTCTCTCACTGTTTCTCGGGCTGAGTTTTTTCACAACAACATCGTCATCGCGGTCATCTCTTTGAGATGGGTTCTTGATAAACTCCCAATTGCAGCTAATCACGTTTAAAATTTCGATCAGGTCTCCGTCAGTGACTCCACCTCCAAAATCGCCGTCTCCGATAACTTGTAGTTTCAGCCGCTGAAGAACGGGTTTTCCGTGTTGGGCTTGAGCTTGAATGATTTCCTGGTATATGGAACGGGCAAGGGGTTCATCGACTGCGGCATTGATCAGTGCTCTTCGTGCTTGGGACTTTATTTCTTCCGGATGGACCATAGCCTGTAAATCCGGGTCATATTCGAGCGGCACACTGAAACGGTTATGGAGCCTTGGATCACTGTAATCGGAAGAGTCAAGGTGCAGCGTGATATTTGTTAGACGGGCAATAGAACCAAGCATCCTATATATGTTGACTTCCTCCGTATCGCCTTGTGTGCGTGGGACAAGTAGTGTCGCCTCCTTCAAAAGTGGACAGCGTTTCATCAGTTCTCCAATCCTTCCAGCGGTTAGGACAAACGGTTCAAACGCCGTGTCTCGGTGAGGCAAGAGCCGGATTTTATACAGTGAGCTATGGTGATTCAAGATGACCTGAAACGTTTCGTGACCAAAGAAACCTGTTAAGCCCAGTGATTCGAGGGGAAGTAGACTCTCGAGAAAGATGCTTGCCGTTGCATCCATAAATTCATTTTGAACTTCATGAATACTCGTCAAGTTCAATTCAAGAACTTTGAGTGAGGTGAATTTACAACCGCTTGCCCATCTCAGCATATCTAACGACCTGATTTCACAGTTTGTTTTCAACACATGCAATGATGAAAGTGCAGTGTACCTCGCCCAGTCTTCAAGGTCCAAGATACCAAATCGAAGGTCCAAAACCTCTAGGTTTCCAATGTCCGTGGCCTGGGAAGGGTGGCCCTGGAAAAATCCGGGCCATTTGGGCCTTCCCATCCTAAAAGCGTTGACATACTGCGGGCTAGATCCAGGATGAACGGAGAACAGCTGCACCCGCTTGAGGTTCGGAGCCAACCCTGCGACAATTTTCCTCAAGGCCACATCATTGTAGTTCAACAAGCCATCGGTATTGAATGGATAATGCGTCAAAGTAATGCAATGCAGGGATGGGGACGTCGCAATGGCGTACTCGTGGGGATCTACATCTTGAAGCCGGTCTCTATGCTGAATAAGACTGCAGAGGTGAAAACTCAGAAAGTGCAGCCTGCAGCGGGGCAGAGACCGGTGTAAAGTGTCAAGCAAGAAGGGTGAGAACTGGTAGTCAGAGCGATAGACTATGTCCCTGAGCGCTGGAAGTTGGATTAAGAAGCGAGCCAAGGGCTCGGGCTTCCACTCATCGTCTCGCTTGGAGATGACTGGACTATGGCACTGCCCGCCAAAGTCAAGGTTGTTGTCATGGACGCTGAATTTCTCATCGCCCTCTCGCACCAAATCCGCTCTCGGGCCAATTTCGAGTTGGCGAACACATCCAAAACCTGAACTTTCTTGCAAAATGTGATTCCAGCGGTCCAGATCTTCACTCAGTTTCTCGCAGTCGCTAAGACGAATCGTTCGCAACCGATGTGCATGGGACGCGACAAGGCATCGTTTGCTCACGAGCGAAAAATCATACACACTGGGCTTGTAGCCAGATGCAACGTAGTCGCAGATATACCCCAGAAGTTCCACGGATAGACATTCAAAGGGAGCCATGTTGAAAGAAGTCAGGGCGATGAACCCAGAATCATGCAGTGGAGGATGGGGAGATGAAGACAAAAGAAGGAAAGCCTCCGGTACGAGCAGCGCAGCTTCGTCGGATGGAGTTTAGCCAATCGCGATGGATACGTGAAGCCCACAGCCTGCCATGGCCAGCATAGCTCCAGACACCCAGCGCCATGTTGTTGCGTTGGTGATATCAGCCTCTTGGTTTGCGGTCAGAGAAATCAGACGAGGAGGTGATGCTGACTAATCCGATGCTGGCTAGGTGTTTGCTCTGTTTGCTTCCATATAATTTCTGCGCGGGGAATCAGAGACCGCATCAACAAGCAATGAGCTCAGCTGCAGCAACGCCATAACCGCAACCATGGCGCGCATCGAAGAGCTACCCGACGACTTCGATGAGTCCCTTAATCTCAACGATCCTACACCTCCTCCCCCCGAAACCCCCTTCGGCATCAAGCCCTCTACCGCCCCGAACAATGACCCGACCACCTCCACCGCTCCCGCCCTCCCGCCGAACATCGCCTCCGTAAAGTCCCATACCAGCACCGAGCTCTTCTCCCTTCTCAACCAAACCCCGCTCTTCATGACCGACATCGATCAGGCACAGCAGGACAGCGCCGGCGAGGAAAATGTCTTCCTCGAGGCCATTCGGGCCCTGCAGCACGAGGGTACGCGCGCAGAGGTTGCGGAGGGGTTTCGCGAGACGGGGAATGAACTGGCCCGGGAGAAGAAGTGGAGCGACGCGCGGGAGTTTTATGGGAAGTCGTTGGCGACGATAAGGGATGTGGAGGAGGGAAAGTGGGAGGAGAGTGTAGATGTGGAGGGGGATAAGAGGAGGATCAGGGATACGGAGGAGAAAGTGTTGGTGAACAGGGCTCTATGTAATTTGGAAATGAGTGAGTGTGAGCTGTCTAGTCCCGCTGAACTTGGTTGCGACGAAACGACTTTTGTAATCCTGACCGTTACTATCCATCCTATACAACCACTGGAAAACCGGCTAACTGGCACCCTTGTATACAGGGAATTATCGCTCCTGTATCCTCGACTGCGCAGCAACGTTAAAGCTTAACCCCCAAAACGTAAAGGCCTACTATCGCTCGGCCCGCGCCCTCCTCGCACTTGATAAAATCCCCGAGGCTCAAGATGCGGCCGATCGCGGCCTTGCTCTTGACCCCACGAACAGGTCCCTCCTCCTGACTACCCAGCAAATCTCCGCTCGTAAAGCCATCCTCGATGCTCTCGCCGCCAAAAAGCTTGCCGAAACCGAGCGGGCGCAACGCATCAAACTCACATTAACCACAGCCCTGCGCGCCAGGGGGATTAAGGTCCGCGAGACAAAACAGCCACCAGATTTGGAGGACGCGACGATGCATCTCTCACCAGACCCATTATCCCCAACGAGCACGCTCGTCCTGCCATGTGTGCTGCTATATCCCATGCACGCGCAGAGTGATTTCATAAAGCAATTTGACGAGACACAGTGTTTACGCGACCATTTGGAGTACATTTTCCCGCTACCTTGGGATAACGAAGGAGAATATGATGTTGACACGGTAGATTGCTTCATGGAGACAATAAATGGCGGGTTGATTCGGGTTGGGAAGAAGGTGAGTCTGTTGGGCGTGTTGAATGAGAGCGGAGGAAAAGTAGAAATCGTGGACGGGTTGGTCAAAATCAATGTTGTCCCCGTAGGGAAGAGTAGGAAGTGGATCGAGGAGGTCAAGGCGAGAAGGACACCTGGTTGACGGAGCGGCATCACCAAGTCTCATATATTCAAGCCTGATGCCTGCTGAAGCAATCTACCGAGTTGGACAGTGAGTAGGTGCAACAGGCGAAGTTGATTGAGTCGCGGCAGATCCAAGAAAGATAACAAGTAATCAACGCAGTTGGGCCCGGCTCGTTTCTATCGAAGCAATCGGTAGTCATGATGGCCGGCAAAGGAAAACTTTTGAACGGGTAGCCGTCACTAGAAGCTGGAAAGAGCGACCGATCTAATGTTAATGCCTGGGAATATACATAACAGACGATATACTGATTCGACCCTGGGAGAGTGTAAAACTACGTCCAATGGGTCACCTATCATACACTGCGGCTGCAGAAGCTGTAATATCGAACGGAGAAGGAGCTGCTTATAGTTAATATACGTACGGGGTGAATGTTCACTGCGGCGGATATATCATATTTGGTGGTATTATGAACCCCCAGTCCAACGACTGTATAATGTTGTCATCCGATCCGAAGTCGAGCGGTGTGTTTAAGTTGTAAAACGAGCTGACATAATCGGGTATCGGAGCCATGGATACCATATCAGCCATCCCAGGATGCGGAGGGATGGAAAGGATGGTGTGTTCATTACCACCATGTTCGGCTGTCCTTGCTGGAGCTGCCATAGACGTTGTTCCAGCAGTGGTAGGGTCGTCGTTTAATACGTAGCCGATATCACATCGCTTGAGGTATTTTCTCGTCGACTGTTCACCTCCAAAAACTGACGATATCTCAGAAACCAGCGCCTCAGGATCCAAGGGTACGCTAAGGTCACGGCGGTCATGCATTTCCAGCATCTTAATGAGGACCTTTCTGCCGTCTACTGCAATCGAGATATTGTCATCAGTATAGGCGAGGTCGGCAATCACCATCTCAATATCTTTCCGTATATGGTCCGCCGGAAACGAGCGCTCGACAAGCAAGAAACCGGCTAGGGAGACCGCCGCAGAAAATGTTTGGTATCCTTGGATGAGAAACTTTTGGGATCGGCGAAATTCTTCGACGTTGCGGTTGCGAAGTTGCCTATATGCGGCCAGAAGGTCATTGGCAGATTTGGCGCAAACGTCCCAAGATGTTCCTGTCCGAGTGTGGATGAATGGTCTGTTCATGCGAATGCGCTGCATACAAATACAACTGTTGAGCATATGACGTTGCCAGGCGATGAACTCGAGATGCTCCGGGAGATCAACACATTCTCCGTTAGTTCCCGTTCGATAATACCACGGAAATTTTGAGGTGAGGTCTGCAATCTCATCATCAACGGATTTGACATGTTCATAGGAGTTGAGGTCGCCATCATTGTCATATAGTCTTCGAAATATGAGGAAGAATTTGGCACGAATAATGTTGCCAGTGGCTTCTGTGGGCTCACTCATTGATTTAGGAGAGACGCTTGTTTCGGTTATATCGTCATCGTTGCAGTGACTAGGGAAGGGAACTTTTTCTGGACTTGTACCAGTTATTAACGGAGCTCTGCCGAGACACATTGATTGAAATCTGGAAAAGAAGGTCAATACGCTTCAACACATGGGAGAAGGCACCTATCATCACATACACGTCGCAGCTGAAAAGCTCCCACCAGGTACGCCGTCGCATTTCCGTTTCTAGACAGTTTTTACCGGGGACATCTCTGTCAAGGCCTAGAGCCTGTGCATTTCTGACAGCTTGGCCAAGGGCGCTACAAATCTGGTTAGCAAGGGAACTTAATTCGACTCAGGAAGGTGAGACAGAACGAGTTCAACGCTTCGACGTCTTTGGTGGCTAGCCAATATAGTTGATGAGCTAAGAACGTTAACAGCTGAGTCATGCTCGGCCGTGATTCAAAGCCGCCGGCATGGAGAGCTTGTCGAGAGGCGGAGTACCATTCATGGGATTTATTGCGGAGTTTCGAGCGAGGAAATCCGGCCTTCTCCGCGGCATCAAATGGGAGAAAGACGGCACTACTGGCCATGATGGCATAAAGAAAAGATAGCCAAATCAAGTTTACATCCTGAACCCTGGTGTTCCAGAACGCTGCGTATTCGTCTTGAAATGACGGAGGGTGTAGGAAATGATAAACCCAGTTGATGTGCTCAAGGAAATACATGACTAGCAGATCACATTGATACTTGCTAGGCAGAAACGAGACCAATTGGGTCTTCCAAAACAAAGCCACTTCAGCTTGGCGAGCAGACGTCTGGCCAGTGGAAAGAAGAAAGGGAAGGCTCCGGGGGAGAATTGAAGTGCCGGCTAATCTCTGGACTGTATCGCTGTACTGGCCAACGGGGTTTCGTAGGGATAGGGTGGTCGCCACGGAAAGTGAGGCAGGTGGAATGGCATCCAAACCCGCCGCCGAAGATGTATTCGGGAACGTTTCAGGGCGCGGGAACGGTGCTGGTGCTGAAATTTGTGTGGCATGAGAGTACGATGCGATTTGGGAGGTTGCGGAGGCAGCGGAGTTATCGGAAACGGCGGCAATCGCGGGGGTTTGAGCCTTCGGGCCGCCACGTACTCCTTCGAGAAGGGAGGATGGTGCGGGATGTTTGCGGCAAAGGTCCTCCCGGCGATAGCGCGTGCACGAATAGCAAGGGACATGACGGTCGCATTTGAGCTTGTGGCGCCGACATGGCAGACAGCTCAACGCTCTTCTTGTACTTGGGCCTTTTGCCGGCTTGGTCGGGTTTGGCAGCGGAGATGGCGTTGTAGACGGCTTTGCAAGAGAGGAAGGCTCAACCGGTTTGGGGGAGATGGACGACAGGGCGCGTTTAGGCCTGTTTAAAGTGTCAGCCGGTCCCGGACGAAAGATATAGTCCGTGGCTCTGTCGAGCCTTTCATCCCAGCATGCGTAGGCCCCTGGGTCTCGAGAGAGAGAAGCTTACCCTGAAGGTTGCTCGGCCATGATTCACGACTGTGGGGTTCAAGTCATCATGATGCATGGATCTGCTCACATCGCACGGGAAGCACAAGGTCCACACCGGCGTTCAGGGGGGACTGCTCAGGCTTGCAAGACCAGCATTGCACGGGTTCGTGATGGAAAGCAAAGTGTCTCGAGACTGTCGTGCTCAGTTCATCGCTGTTGGCGTGAGTGTTGTTGCTTGTCGCCGTCGTCGTGGAATGGATGCTCGTCCGCAGATCCGGATCGGGCTTAGTGGGGCTGGCCGGAGACTTGGTTCTTCCCCGCCGCCAAGGCCCTTATGTAAGCGGATTAGATAATTAGGTATAACAAACAAAACAAACCCAGCACCAGGTCAACCAGAATAGAGCAAATTATTGGCGTCGATGCAGGGAGACAACGAAGAGAGGGAGTAATATAAAAGGAGGGAGAAAAGATGGAAGCAGCGGCGGGAGCTGGACCGCCCTTTTAATTGTGCGCATCAGCTCACAGGTCTCATGTCTCAGACGCGGCTATGAGAACCAGCCATTCTCTTTCGGGCGAGCCGAGTCGTGATCGCAGGCAGACGGCTGGTCTCTGACAGCAGTGACAGGGTTCCGGTGTGTTTTGCGCTGCACTCGAGATGCATCCATTCGTTGATCGACGACGGCTGCCCAGCAATTGTGGATTGGCACTACTGCACCTCACGATGCCAATCGTGTTGAGGTGTGTCAGCCGTAGAATCCCGGCCCCATGAGAGGAGCACAGAACTGTTCATTGCTGCCGGCCAGCTCTGGAATCAATCCAGGACTCGAGTTGACGGGCTGTTCCGCGTGCTGTTGAGAAGCGATGCTGGCGAGATGTCGGCGGAATACGCAGGCTTGTACTCAATACACCGCTGCGGCCAATCACAGCCGCGGAGCCCGCGATTACCTAAGAAATATGCCTGTAATTACGGGCGCCGTACCTCCAGCATGAATTTTTCAGGTCGTTGTTCTCCTGCAATCGACGCGATGGAAAGGCTTCGAGTGAGAAGTCAAGACGAACCACCTGGCAGCCGCCTGCAAAGACATCTTGCTGCAGAAGACACTGGCCACCGTCGGCATTGTCTCCGAGACTCAACCCAGCTCCCAGCCGAGTCGTGGTGCTCGGATGCTGGAGATCCTTGAACGACAAGGTTCCCGGACAAGCCACTCGCCCATCTGCCTTTCTCCAGACCACACGCATCGCAACCGCCGAGTCGTCGTCGTCGAGATCGTATCGTCGGGCCAGAGTCGACTCGATCGCAACCCTCAACGATGAACCAACCGCCCCTCCCGTACCAGCAGGCCTTTCTGCAGCAGCCTCCGGTGGCCTCCAATTCCCCCTACCACCCCATCCATCAGCAACAACAGCAGCAACCGCAGCATCTCCCGCTCCAGCACCAGCAACCGCAGCATATCGTCCCACAGCCCGCCCAGTCAATGCCCTTTTACCAGAATCCTGGCCTGTATCCCCAAGAGCCCATCCCGCCCCAGATCCACCAACAGCAGCAACCGCAACATCCCTTCCCGCGTGTCGTCGGTGCTGTTCCACCACAGGCCGGCATGGGTGGAGCCATGATGATGTCCCCGGCGCCGCTACCCCATCATGCTTCTGCTAATAGTACGTCGCTTTTTTATACTCGTCCATCTCCATCCTGATCTCCCCGGTTTTCTTTTTCATTGGCCCCGCATCCTGAAGTCCCTTTCGTTGCTGACTGCTGTTCCCTTGTGACTTCTTCGTATTCCTCAGGTGCCCGTGCGGGCGCAGAA